ATTATTTCACTCTCTCAGGAAAATATGCCATTTTGAGTCAAATCCTCAGGAATTCATTTTTTATTTTTTGCAAATCTTTAATCTAGTTAATAAACTCATAGTTTTTTGCATTTCCCAAACTACATCCCATATATTTTAGATGAGTTTTCAGAGCTCCTATCTGATTTGGTGTTAAATACTTGCTCATGTGAGGAAATGAGCAAAATCTGCTATGCATTCTAGAGAAAGTATATTGGTTCACAGAAACTAAGTTAAGATAGTAGATAGATAGATAGATAGATAGATAGATAGATAGATAGATAGATAGATAGATAGATAGATAGATAGATAGATAGATAGATAGATAGAGTTTTGTGTGTGTATAAAGTAACCATCACAACCCCAGGAATAGTGTATCCCTCTTCTAGGCAGTAATTGATCACAACAACAAAACTATTACTCACACAGCTCTCTGTAGTCCTCAGATCATGTTGTTGTTCTTTCTCATTACCTTCAAGCCAAGATCTATATTTTCATATTGATTTGCTGACTGTACTGAAATAGAAAATACCTTAGTTTGCAGCAACAAAAGAAAACCGTGTCAACTTTTGGAGATATTCAGAGAGCATAGGTTTGAGATTTGGACAACATCAGATCAGTCAGCCCTTACAGTGGATGGCACTTATAGTTGCAAATGTTCTTACTTATGCAGTAAACAACAGCAATCTTAACCTACTTCTTAAATACCTAAACAAACATTGTTTTTCTTCTTACAGAGTATAGTGTGCACAATGGGACTAAAATGGTATCCTCCTCCTGAATTGCTCCATTGCATCAAAGGATGTGAGGTTAGTGCAAGACATCACCCGTCTCACCCATAGCATGGAGCTCTGATATACTTTAATTCGTTAACCTCTCATGAACTTAGAAACATAAAAGATAGAGCATAAAGTTTTATGAGTTGTACTTGGCTTAACTGAAACTGAAATTAATTACCAGATACTATATGAGTAAAACACAAATAGCATAGGTGAGGCATTATCTCTCACACTGTTGATCATCAAAATATGCTTATTGGTATTTTGATCCTCATGATCTAATATATTTTGAACTGCAGATAGAGATAAAAACATTTTTTTCTCCCATGAAGATACAATGTAATCCGTACAGCTGAAACAAACTGGAGAACCTAAATGGTAACCCAAGCTTTTGGGGCAAACCTAATAAATCACCTCACTGGTTTATATTGTGCTAATTATAGTTTATGGTGTCCTCATTTGATTTACGGGTCCAGCTGACTATGGGCTTAAATAGTGACATTGAAGAATGGGGAATAAAATTTGTATTTAGTTCATTAATAAATTCATTCAGATACTCATAAAGACCTCAACATTTTGAAAAGATAAAAAAAAAAAAAAAGCTTTAGGCCTTAACCATCTAATGAGAATGTTTCTCATGTCTTCTTTACCTTGAATAGCCATTCATGGGTGACAACTACTGTGATCCAGTCAACAATAGGGCCTTCTGCAACTATGATGGAGGTGACTGCTGTCATTCCACTGTCAAGACTAAGAAGGTTAGTGGCATGCTTTACATGAAAAATATCATATGACAAAGAAATTACGCTCTTCTCCAACAAATTAATAAATGTTTATGTTTTGTTTTGTCTTTTCCTTGTTTTATTCCTGGGCCTTTTGAAAATATTTTTCCAGTTCCTTTTCCAAATAGAAAGAAGATAAATTTTAGATTCTTTATGTTTTTGAATGCTAATGCAAGTTGTTATATAAAAAAAGCTGTAATTTTTCATTAAGTATTTATTCCAACCTCGGATTATTGTAGAAAGTAGATATACAGCAGAGATTAGTTGGCTGGGGTTGGCAACCTGCTCCTCCGGCTCTTTAGCGTCCCCCTTGCAGCTCCCTGGAGCTTTTTCAAAAATTTTATGAAAATCACATTTTTTTTTTTATATGGTGTGCAGGAGGTTGAACAAAATTATGTTTTCCAATCCTCTAAACATTTGTATAATAAATAATAATAATATTATTTAATAATAAATAATAACCGTGGGTATGTCTTGGACCATTGATTCCAAAGGAAAAAAAAGGAAGATAGTTGATGAGAACAGAGGATTCAAAGAATGGACCGAATGATTTGCTTTCATTATCAATGTGGAAGGATTGCCTGCATTTTTGCTTTGTAATGAAAAATATAAAAACTATCATTTGGAAAGGCATTTCCAAGGATGGCTACTTAACATGCAGTCGACCACCAAGTTGAGTGAGAGAAAAAGTGCGATTGCAAAACTTCTGGATAAATTAGAGGAGCGCAAAGATAGATTAAAGAAGTGGATTGCATCTCAAAACTCCACTAATGGTGGAGTTTTGTTGCAAGGATGGAAAGCCGTCCACAGATCAAACAGGTAGCGTTCTGATGCAGGGATGTGAACTTTCTTCCATTTTTTCCCCATATCCTAAAAATATAAATCACACCAAGCAGCGATGTTGATGGAGGATGTGGGATTTCAGGATTAGAGAGCTCTGCTCTGATGGATGTCAGTTCCTGCTTGGTTCCTCGCGACTCAAACAATTCCTCCCAACAGAAACATGTCCACCATAGAAAGATTTCTTTATCCTGTTTCTATTATTTCATCAATGCAACAGAACCTAAACCGCGCGGTGAAGCAGCACTTGGAGAGATTGTTCACTGCTCCTCCCTTACCTCCTGCTACTATGTGACATTTGCTCCAGGATAAACATTTAATCATGAATGCTTATTATATATTTAAGCCCACATAGTCCTTTTCTATAATGGGATAATACACTTAGAGCCCGTGTTACCATACAAGGCATATTTAAGACTTTTACATTTTTGCGGCTCCAGACAGATTTATTTTGTGTTATTTTGGTCCAATATGGCTCCTGAGCAGTTTGGGTTGCCGACTCCTGGGTTAGGGCTTTTGTTGTGCAACTAAAGATCCTGAACGTATACCTTGTGGAAGGTTCGCATTTTCTCTCTATACTTTAGTGGTTCTACTGTATTTCTGGTATTCCAAACTCTTTCCATATATAACACGTTTAAGGTAAATTGTTGACTTTACATTGCCATGTCTGAGGATGTTTGGGATAATCTTCCACCCCCTGGTGGATTAGGTGGCTAAAAAAGTAGACCAGTATGTAATGTTCTGCTTTTTGCCAGCTTAGCCTGTTTTGTAACGATTTCTGTCTTCCTGGGTCAATAAGCAAATCAAGAGCACATCAGTTGCAACATATATACATCTTGCAATTTCAAATCCTCCACATTAACTTATTTAAACTGCTTGTGATCTTATCTATTTTTACGTATTCTCTTCCATTCTATTGCACTGTTGTGTTTAGCCATATAAAACAAAGTATTGTATCCATCAATACTTGGTCTGCTCTGTGTATATTCAGTCAGTTACATCTGCCTTCCATCTGACAGAACCCTCAAAGAATGCATTTAACTAATTTCAGACATTCTGACATTTTTATTTATCCACTGCATTAAAGTCAGGTTGGGGTTTGGACATCTGGGACCAAGCAACACATTGATTATTTTCATTTTTAGCTACTCCACCGTTGATTTGCTGTTGTTGTGGGATTTCTTTATAGTGTCATTTGTTTATTGTGGCAAAGCTTCAGCTGTCAGACAGATTGCCTTTGAATCTGGAATACTAAAAGAGTAAGACTAGACCTGAAATCAACTTTATATATATATATATATATATATATATATATATATATATATATATATATATATATATATATATATATATAT